AAACAGCAGTACTTTTTATCAGTAAGAATCTGGGAGTGTGACCTGTGCTCATTTTGGATTCCTCAGAATTCATTTCTAGTCCCCCCGCCTCCCCCCCACCCTGGCTGGGGGACTTTTTCTTTGTGATATGCATGTCTGTGGTTCAGCCATGCCCCTTGTCCTCTGCCCATTGGGGTTCTGGTCACTGAGACTGCGGTTGGGTCGTTTGCAGCTTACTGCCGGAACTCTCTGGATGGCCAGTGGTACAGCTACGATGACAGCACAGTGGAGCCAATTCGAGAAGATGAGGTCAACACCAGAGGGGCATACATCCTATTTTATCAGAAGCGGAACAGCATTCCCCCATGGTCGGCCAGCAGCTCCATGAGAGGTGAGTGTTGCTATGTGGGGGGAGGTGTAGGAGTTGCTTGAAGAATCAGGAGAATTCCCAGCCGAACAGCCAGGACCAGCAAGGTAGGCCAGGAGTGAAAAGGGGGAGCCCTGGCTATTGATCTACAAATCTGGGCACCGCAGGTTAGCATCTTACTTGTTAGGATGTGGGATAAATAAGTCAAGAAAGGGAAAAAGAGTGACTTCGCTGGGCGTGGTGGGCCATGTCTGTAATCCCTGCCCTCAGCAGGCTGAAGCAGGAGGCTCGCCATAAGTTTGAGGCCAGCCGGGCCTACATAGTGAGACCTTCTCTTCAACCAAGCAGCAAAACAAACATACATTTATTTTAGTCAGAGCAGGATGTCACTTGAGGTTGTGGAGCGCCACGTTCTCAGTCTCACTCGTAATGAGCCAGATTTAATGAAGCTTGGGTCATACAAACCTGTGTTAGAAGCATGTGTTCGTCCTGTTAGGGACGGGTAGCAAGGAGGGTGCAGCTGCTTACTGGTACCCCAGCAATTCATTTATTAGCCTTAGGCTTACTCAGAAGTCGAGAGGAAAGAAGGGCCTGGCTGTCCTTTCTGTGCGACTCATTCCACTCGGCCATCCTTACCTCAGGGATGGGAGGGCATGTGACAACAGTGAACCAGATCTTCTCTTAACCATTATTGAAAGATGGCTAAATAAACAAGAGTTCTCAGCAGGTCAGGCAAGCCTCACTTCTGCATACTTGCACAGAGGAGATATTGAAAGAAGAATAAAACACCCTATTGGAGAAGGGCATTTTTCTTACTGTCCAATGTGATGAAGTAATGTCTCCCTCTAGATCAAAGGGTGGACATCCCTCATGACCATCATCAAAGTCTTGGTTTCCCTGAACCTGGGATCTGCTCCTGTGACATAGCTTACTGCATGGTAACCCTTGGGAACTGAGACCGAGGGTCCTGGGATCAAATTCTGACCATGGCTAGGGCTGTGAGTAATAAAGTCCTTTGGTTCTGGAAAAACAAAATGAAACCTTTAGAAAGCCAGCCTGGAAAGCATTTCAGTACTCATCCATGTACTTTCTTCTCTATGCCCTCTTGCCTCTCCCTGAACCCATAAGGTTGGGCACAGGGGCCCCCACTGGGGGACTCTGGGCATTTAGAGCCATTTCTGCAGGCTGCAGAATGGGGTTCTGTGGGGCTGGGGCTAGGCGGAGGGGAGCTCCGAGGATGCTGAAGGGCGTTTGGTGTAGCCTCTCTCCCCGGCTTCCTCTGCAGGCTCCACCAGCTCCTCCCTGTCTGACCACTGGCTCCTGAGGCTCGGCAGTTACAGCGGCAACAGCACCCGAAGCAGCCTGCTGTCCTGGAGCTCTGCCCCCTGCCCCTCCCTGGCCCGGGCGCCTGACTCTCCTATCTCTGCCAATGGCCTCTGCAGCCAAGGAAAGGGTATGTGCGCTCCATTTGCTGATTCTCTGCAGCTGTGGGGTCTCCTCTTGGTCACAGCGGTGGCTCTTCACAGCCTTGAGTAGAGTCAGGTAATACAAGAGGTGCGTTCACCTGTCACACAGGGTCTCCTGAGACCTTCTCACACCTGCTCCTCTTCCACGATCATCTGTCTACACATGTAAGGGACTTGTATTTGTAGAGCCAGCCACCTGTGGATTGAAAATATTTTTGGGGAGCAAAAAATCACCTATACTGAACATGTAGACTTCTTCCTTGTTATTATACCTAAACCAAAATGGATAAGAACTACCTGTATAGCACTGGTATGTCACTGGGTGTTATAAATAATCTAGAGATGATTTAAGTGTATGGGAGAATATGCATACGTTCTATGCAGATACCATGCTATATCAAGGACTAGAAGGACTTTTAGTGTCTGCAGGGGGACCTGGGGCTGATTCCCTAGAGATGCCAAGGCTTGTTCTTTCTTGGCTCCCATGGGAACTTGTGGTCTTATGGGGGTAGGCAGATAAGGAAGGCAGCAAAAAGATTGGAGAACAGGGATAAATCATCAGGAAGGAGATAGGGAGGCTGGGGATGAGGGAAGGAGGCAGAGCTTAATGGGTTGTGTGAGGAAGACCTTTCTAAGGAAGTGGTATGAGTGAGAAGGAGGCAGCCCACGTGGCAGTCAGGGGAAAGCATTTCAGGAAGGGGACAGCCAGGGAAATGGCCTAGAGTCGGATGGGAGTGGGGAGAGGAGCCAGAGCTATGGCGGAGCTGAGTCCCTTAACATTCATCTAGTGCATTCCTATTTTTGTTTTTTTGCATTGCTTTTTTTCTCCTAGTACTAGAGACTGAACCTAGCTACATCCCCAGCTCCTTTTTATTTTGTGCTTTGAGACAGTGTCTAGGTCTAGGTCCCTTGGTTTCCTAGGCTGTGCTAGAACTTGCAGTCCTCCTGCCTCAGCCCTGCAGAATGCTGGGATTGCAGGTGTGTGCTGCCACGCCCGGCTCCGCCCCTACTGCTTCCCACAGTGGGTTCTGACCCACCCACACTGGGCGTTGATTTTTCTCCCTGCATTTTCAGGACTTCACAGTTAGGAGATAGTGTAAAACATGAAAGTGTCCTTCCAAGTTGTCCATTCCTGAAGCACTGTCTAGGATAAGCTCATAAATCTGACTCCACCCCATCCATCTAAAAGCACAGTACCCCAGGCCATTTCTCAGGGCTCCCTAGGAGAAAGGCATCGGATGGCCCCAATGGAGGTAACCTCACTGGCGGGATAGCTTTTCAGTGTGGGACTCAGGAACTGCCAGGCACAGTCCTGAGGGTTCTTCCAGAGACCCAGCCAGGGCTCAGGGCTCAGGGCAGAGGATCAATCGATCCTCATGCTGTAGACAGTAGTGATTTGCTTTCAGTCCCTGAGTGGAAGGAAAACTGCCTGGAGTCCTCTTTAGAAGGGCCCTGGGCTTAGACCACTCTACTTTTCAGGACAGGAGTTTTTGGTTGATAAATTTCCACTGTGGCTTTCACTGGGGGTCAGAGGTTTTGTTTTTCTCTTTTTCAGCTCTTATTTCATCTCAGTTTTCATTTCTTCTTTGATCTAGACCTTATCTGAGAGTTTCAAGTACTTAATGACTGTTTTGTCACCTTCTTATTTCTTCTAATTTGATGAATTGTGACCCAAGAATGTGACTTTTCAAGTCATTCTTTTTATGATCAAGTGCATGGTGATGATTTTGTAAATGCTCTGTGTACATATAAATAATACATATTGTCAACTGGAGAAATGTGAGCTTTGTGGAATAACGATTAGCTGAGCCGGTCGTCCATTCAGTTCGGCCGTGCCTTTAATTTACCTTCTCCAGAGCCACCTGACTAGGAAGGCGATGCATTGAAACCTTCCTGCAGAGCTGTATTTTTGGTCATGTACTCCTTGAATTTTCAATATATCGTTAGCTGATATTGAATTTTCAATATATTGTTAGTAGATATCTGCAACTTTATTACTGTTGGATCTCTTTTTAAAAATTAACTGTGCTTCATTGGCCAAGCAATGGCCGTGACGCTTCCACATGGCTGACAGTGACAAAGGTTCTACACTCTGAGGTACAGGATCTCAGGATAAATCCTGAGGGGATTTCACTGACCTTATCAGACCCAAAAGCTACAACTCTTATTGCACAGGTCCTGCTTTACCTTGGTCTTAACCATCCAGCAGAAAAGTACAAAAATGAAATATAAGAAGTAAAGCCATGATGTTATGTTGAGCTGTAGGGGACTCAGGTCAACAATTTCTGACATTGCCAGTCCAGCGGAAGACCCAATACTATTATGGGCTACTGGACTCTTTTAGAATATTTTGCTGAATTTACACGCCTATAATATTCAAATAATGGAACTTAACAAAAAAGGGGGATACAGATGAATGTCCATTTTGTAT